GTAAAACGTGAGCAGCTGGTAAATGACTGCCTCCAAAGTGCAGTTTGCAGAGCCCTTCCCACCTCCAGCTGTACTTGCAGATGCACTGGGTAGGGGATGACCAAGCCTCAGGGTCCCCATTTCTCTCTCTGTGGGGACATCTATATGGGGCATGCCTGGAGTTTCTAAGTCCCCAGTCCTAATGAGATTACCTCAAATAGAGACTAAGGTGAAAATCTAGTTAACTCTGCAGACACTAGAGTCCAGGGGTCTTCATTAGTGTGGACCCCAGACCAAGAGGTTAGGGCACAGACTGAGACACTGGCTCAGAGACTAATGAGCTCATATTTTTTGGTTTCAAGGGGTTTAATTTTCAAATTCAGTTCTGATCAGGTTTTGTTGTTGTTGTTCTTTTAAGTGATTCTGGGAAAATTAGTACTTTGGTTTGGCTTGTGGCTTAATTGAGCAAGGTTTGAAAGACAAATCGTATTAGATTTTCAACATAGGGTTTGATAGGGACTCGGTGAGTGCATTGAGCAGGCAGGGAAGAGGAAGCCTTGGGGGATGAGTTACTCAAGAACCTGCAGGCTGGTAGCTGGTTCAGCCTGAATTGTGGTAGAAACACAAGTGGAACCATACTCCATTGGTCAAAAATAATTAAAATGTAGGCAAATAAATGTGTATATAACTCGACGTCACAGATGCCAAGCACCCAGAAGGCAAAGATTTTAACATCTTGCTTTGGTTTTAATCAAGCAGTATTTATTGAACATTGATGTGCACTAGTTTCAGTACAAAGATGAGAAAAAACACTCCTGCCCTCAGGAAGCTCCCATCGCAGGTGAGATAAGACTGAGGCATGGATTGTTAAGTAACAGTGTGAGACATTACAGTTTCATTGTGCGGGTACCCGAGCAACTGCGCAAGGAATGGATCAGACTGAGTGTGATGGGGCTTCAAAGAAAAGGAAAGAGCATTAGAGGCTAAAACAGGAGGTAAGAGATGAGGCAGCTGAATCAAGCAGAATTTGAAACAATGGAGGAGGAAGGATGAGGCAGAGCATAAACATGGGACACAGCAAGAGGTATTCTGGGTATCCAGTTTGAACCAGAGAAGATCAGAAGGTCGGTCAGAGAAATGAATTAAGGCAGCTTACAGTGAACTTCTTTTATTCCTGTAAGTGCCTTGAATTCCTGTAAGTGGAAATCAGTTGAATGTACTGAAAGAGTTAAGAACCTGGATATCAGAGCAAATGAAAAATATACACAAAAGACACTGTAGCCACAGTTTACCCCCCTGAGACTGAGGCACAGGAAAGCTAAGTAACTTGCCCAAAGTCACACAGCTAGTCAACAGTGGACTTACCTTAGGCCCAAGGCAGTCTGGTAGCAAAGCCCCACTACTGAACGGCACAGTCCAAGAAATAAAAATGTGTACATCAATATTCATAGCATCATTATTCACAATAGCCAAAAAGTAGAAACAAATGTCCACCAACTGATGAATAGATAAACAGAATGTCATATATCCATACCATGGAATATTATTCAGCCACAAACAGGAACTGATCATGTCACAACACGAACGAACCTTGTAAACATTACACTAACGGGAAGAAGCCAGTCACCAAAACAAAAACAAAAAAGCCCCCACATATTGTATGATTCTATTTGTGTGAAATTTCTAGAATGGGCAGTTCCATAAAATAATAGATGACTGGGTGCCTATGGCTGCAGGAATAGAGAATAGGGAGTGACTGCCAATAGACATAGAGTTGTCAGGGGCTTTTTGGGACGAGAGGTGATGAAAGTGCCCTAAATTAGACTTTGTTAGTGGCAACGTGATTATGTGATTATACTTAAAAAGACAAAAACAAAAAAAACACAAGTATAAAATTTAGGTGAGTACATTTTATAGTATGTGAATTATACTTCCAAAAAAAAGGTGTAAAAACCTTTGTAAAGCATCTAAGATGACTGAGGGGTTTGGGTATGTATGGACAGCGATACCCAGGGACTCACGGGAACGTGACATGGAGTGAGGTACGGAGACGTGGAGCCTGTTAAGGGTCAGGTCTGCGGACGGGCCAAGTCCCGAGCCGGTCCTTCTCTGAGAAACAAAATACAGAAGCCAGTGACCGCTTTTTCTCCTGCCAGGAACTGACAGTCCTGTTGGTGGCACCTTGCATGCTGTAGATTCCAGCCCGACTCCAAGGTAGACTGCCGGCTTTCTTGCTGGCCCAGACATGCTAGCACCAGTTAGTGAGGATGCGCTAAATGTGTTTTGCTTTGCTTTTGTTCTGCAGTTTTTGAAGAGCCGGAAGATCCAAGCAACAGGTCGTTTTTCTCTGAAATTATCTCTTCAATTTCGGATGTGAAGTTCAGCCACAGTGGGAGGTATATCATGACCAGAGACTATCTGACTGTCAAAGTTTGGGATCTCAATATGGAAAATCGCCCCATCGAGACTTACCAGGTACAGAGCACCTTCCACCCATAGGTAGAGTGAGCCCTTCCTTTGTGGGTTCCAGGTCAACGTCTGCCTGCAAAGATTTACAAGGCAGGCGAGTAAAAGACATCTTGAGCCAATGGAACATGCAGAAATAGCAGGTAGGCACCCAGTGCAAGTCTGGCTAGATCCAGCCTAGAGAAAAGAGCAGGAACCATGCCCTGAGGCCCCAGTGTTTATAGGCTGGGGAGGGAGAGGAAGTGGATTTGGCAAGAGAGATGGAAGCAAAGTGCCAATGATGTAGAAGGGAAACAGAGAAGAGTGTCCTGGAAGGCAAGTGAAGAAACTGTCTCAAGGAAGGAGGAAGCCCCCAACTGCCAAATCTAGTAAGGACGGACTGAGAAAGGGCCACTGGAGTTAGTGATGTCTGAAATTAACGGCCACATGTAGGTGAAGTGGGAGGAGTCTGATTGGAGTGGGTTCAAGAGAGACTGTAAATCGAGGATGTGGGCATAATGAGTACAGGTAACTCAAAGAATGCTGTTCTGAGGGGGAACAGAGCAATGGGCAGTCTCTGGAATGGGATACAGGATTCGGGAAGTTATCCCAGCTCATTTTATGCTAATAGGAACAAGCCAGGAGAGAGAGAGCTCACGAAAGCAGTCAGCTCTCTGAGGGAGTAGATTCCATTGCAGAAATGGCCTTAGATGAGACAGAAAGTTCATCCATCAAAGGAAGAGAGAAGACTAAACAGACGCAGTAAGTTTGTGAATTTTGTGATAGGAACATAGGGATGGTTTCTTCTTAGTGCTTCTATTTACCAGTAAGATCAGAAGCAAGGTCATCAGCTGCATGAGAAGCAGAAGTGTAAACTGACTAGGGCAGCGTTGTCGGGTTGCTCGGGTGTCCTCTTGAGGTTTATTTTATTTATCTGAAGTGAGACTAAGCTGTGTGTGTGTTTTTTTCCCCAGCCACATTCACCTGCTTGGTACAGGGAAGGAAGGCAGAAAGTTAGATTTAACCAGTGATGGGGTTTTTGCCAAATAAGTACAATGGAAGGAGGGAGAAAGGCAAGTCTGTTGAAGGTCTGTAGTAAGGGAGTGGTTGGAATGATGGTTTGCTGAATCTTTGCTGAATCAAAGGTGGGTAAGGAGGGAAATGGAGAATTGATGGAATCAAGATACTAAGGGGAGTGATCGAAGTGAGAGGAGGCAGCAAAGGAGTGATACTTTGTTAAACAACTGCAGTCATAATAATGATAAGGCTCGTAGAAGGACCCAGGAAGCAAAGGACAAAACTGATTGAACTTGTCCTCTTCCTGATTGAAAAATCTGCTACTCCAGAGGCTACTCATGGGACGGCTGGACTTCTGCCCTCGTGTGGCGAGGTGGGGTTAGTGCAGTGCTGCTCCTGTCTGAGGTCCTCAGCTCCTTGGACGTTATGCCATCAAACATGACTTTCTGCTACCCATCCTTCTTACAGTCATCAATGGTTCTGACTCCCTCTGCCTCATTCCTGGAAGCAACTCTTAGTGAGTCTAACATTCTGGTGTCTGTTACCTGGCCTCTTCATTTTCAAAGAGGAGGTTGAGGACTTGGATGACTGAATGAGATCCAGGGGTGCTAGAACAGGGTCTGGGGCCCAGGATTCAAGACCCAGGTATGTGGTTGAGGTAGTCTGGCTACCCCTGGGGTTCAAACTGCATCCCCTGTATATTTAGGGTCTTACTGTCCCCAAGCTCCTACTCACAGCCCTTCATCTTCATCCCAGTTGGCTAGAGCCAATATGAGGGTCCTGCTCTAGCTGCACAAGACAAACCGTCTGGTGTCACAGCACTTAGAACTAGAACCTGAATGGGCATGGCACTGACAGAAGTGTGCCGGCTGGAGAGCCTCGGTTAGCAATCAGTACTTTTACGTTAGGGAAAAGCTTTTAGAACAAAGCTAGCTAGGTGTGACGTGGGATCATCAGCATTTAAGATCTTGGTTCTCAAACTGTTTAGCTAGTGGTAGACTTGGAAATCCTTTTTGTGGAACACTGATAGGTAGCATAGCCCATGTACTGAAGTGAAATGTTACAAAAACTTAACCTGTTTTAGAAGGCATATATCAAGCATTTTACTTACCATCTTTGATGTGATATATAAGCGTAATATACCATACAAAAGTTGGTTTTAAGAAAAACTGCATCTGGAACAGTGTGGGAAAAGACTGTGAGGACTGGTCCAGTAGAAAGTACTAGTGCCTTCCCTGGGCAGGGAGCCAAGTGGTATTCCCGCAGATTTTCATGTATCCCTAACTGATCACAAGCAGGAGGCTGTAGACTTAAGCTATTTTATGATCAGCTATTTTCAAGTCTACCTATAAACCAGGGGTTGGCAAATGGCAACTTGTAGGCCACATCCAGCACCCCTATCTGTCTTGGTAAAAGTTGTTTTACTGAAACCCAGCCCCACCCGATCATTTACAGATTGTCTGTGGCCGCCTTCACGCTACAGTGGCTGAGTCATCATGACAGAGATCGTCTGGCCCACAAAGCTTAAGAGATTTACTAGAAGAACAAAAAATCTTCACCTCGCTAGGCCTCAGAGTAGTCTAGTAACTCCGCAGCACTCGGCCTCCACAAGCGCGTGATTTGATGACCACTGCGTAGGGAGAGTCGGTGTCAGGACGGCTGTGCTCCAGGTAGTAGGAACCTAGAAGAGAGCGAGTATTTGAAACATGAAGAGAGAAGCCACACATAGGATGAGTTTTAAGGTCTCTCTTACTCTGCTCTCTAGATGTTCTCATGTATCTCGCCTTATTCTCTCCTCTGACGGAGAAAACTCCATGTGCTTTATAACAGAGCGTGTATGTGACACGCCTCCACCGAGGTGAATCTTTTCCTGCAGATGCCCTTTAACTGGAAGTGGTTAGGAGCCTCTCAGGACTTCGATGCGACAGAGAAGAGAATAATGGCTCAGACTAGGTTTTCCCTTTGAATCCACCTAGACTTCTCTCTTATCTCTCTTATTTTCACTTTTATCTCCTATTTTCTTTTATTGAATTATGGTCAGTTTACAATGTGTCAATTTCCAGTGTACAGCACAATTTTTCAGTTAGACATGAACATACATATATTCGTTGTCACATTCTTTTTCACCGTGAGCTACAAGATCTTGTATATATTTCCCTGTGCTATACAGTATAATCTTGTTTATCCACTCTGCATATGCCTGTCAGTATCTACAAATTTCGAACTCCCTATCTTTCTCTTTCTGGCTTACTTCACTTAGAATGACATTCTCCAGGGTCATCCATGTAGCTGCAAATGGTGTTATGTTGTCGGTTTTTATGGCTGAGTTGTATTCCATTGTGTAAACATACCACACATCTTTACCCAGTCATTTGTTGGACATTTAGGCTGTTTCCATGTCTTGGCTAGTGTAAATAACACTGGGGTGTAGGTGTCTTTTTGAAGTAGGCTTCCTTCTGGCTATATGCCCAGGCATCTCCTAGACTTTTATCTCTTAAGGTTTATTAATAAAATGAGTTATTGGTGCTGCAGTTCCTGTAATAACTGACGCACACTTCCAAAGCACACATTTTCATATGTATCACTAACCTGTGATATTCCTTTAAGATAAAAAATGTGAAAGGTGAGTGCCCAGGGCCAGCCCGGACAGGGCAGGACGGGGCGGGGGGCACTCTCTCCCCCCAACCTGAGATTGACTGGAAGAAACCACACAAAAACTATCTGCTTCATGATTCCAATTACATAAAATTCACAAGGAATTTTCTAAAACACACAAACAAGCAGAACTATAATGTTTCAGATATATACTTAGTGGTCACACCACTAAGAAAAACAAGGAAATGGTTATTATAAAATTAAGGACCATGGTGATCTTTGGGCAAAAGGACTCCCTCAGAGCAGGCATTCAGGAGACTTCTGGGAAGCTGGCAACAGAACCCATTTGCCATTTTAAAGGAGTTCCCTTTATAATAATTCACTAACTTCTACATTAGTTCTGTTCAATTTTCTGTCTTATGTATTTCACCTTTTGAAAGATTTTCTTAAAAGCTAAGAGAGGCACTCAAACACCCTGACACCCCAGTCCCCATTTTTTATTTTTACGGGCACACAGCTCCCACTCAGCTGTACACACAGTGTGGCTGCTTTCCCCCTACAAGGGCAGAGTGGGGCAGTTACACTGAGGCTGTGTGGTCCACGAGGTGTAAGTATTTACTACCTGGCTCCTGACAGGAATTTGTCAGCACAGACTCAGTCCTCTCTCTGTCCTAGGACTATCTCTGTTCGGCTTTGTTCAAGGATTCTTAATGCTGATTGGAGATCTTCAACAAGCAGAGGTAGCCCTGTAAACAAAAGTCTCAGATCCGAGCCACTTCCAATACGCCCAGACTGTGGCAGGAGAGGAACACAAGTTCAGAAACAGTCTACAGCCTCGTTCCCGAGCTCAGGGCACATGCCTCACCCTTGCTCCGTGCTTCCTGCCTCCAGTGCCAGGAGCCCGCTGGGCTTCCCTGCCGCCGTAGCACTGAGCAGGTACCCTGATGAGGCCCAGCGCTGTTTGGGAAAATGAACATGGAAGTAATTAATTTGCAGAGTTAGAAATACTTACACTGTCCAAATAACTCAGAGCTTTTCAAATACCCCAAACATCTAATGCAACATGGAATGAATCTGACCTCCTTTCTTCATGCAGTCCTAAGCCCACAGCTGAGCCTCTGAGCTCAGCATCCAGCAGAACCCTGGGGGGCAGGGAGGAGAGGAGCCTGGGCTGCAGGACGGCGGACACTGAACCCCTGCTCTCCACCCAAAGTCAAACAGTGGTTTTTCACAACGTCCCTCTGCCTTCACACAATTCCACCTCCCTCTGGGCCTCACTTCAGTTCATTCTCACAGCTCCCGTCTAGGACCGAGACTCCACGTAAGGTGAGGCAGGTGAGGCCGATGAGGCGGGGCAAGGGGGAGGCAGATTACCAGAGACGGCAAGAGGCTGTGCCCCAGATCTCGAGGCTCGTGGCCACCCTGCTCTCTTTCCTATGTGATGTCACCCTGTACTTCATGCTCCGCTGAAGTGAAGGGAAGGGCAATAGCGACACAGTGAGATGAGTTTAGACAAGAAATGAGACTTTATGGATAAAGCACATGGCTACTCACTATTTCTACCTAGAATAATTACCAGTCCCTACCGGCAAGTCCAGGAACTGGAAACTGAACCCTATATACTACTCTGAGCCTTAACCATCTGCCTATTTGCCATCTTCACCTGAGTTGCTGAATGTAGCTAGAGAAAGATACCCAAATATGCTGACCAGTTTCATTTAAAATTCACATCCTTTTGTCTCATTTCTAGAAAAAAAATGTGACTAATGAACTTATTTACAAAACCGATTCACAAACAGAGAACAAACTTATGGTTACCAAAAAGGAAAGCAGAGGGAAGGCGGGATAAATTAGGAGTTTGGGATTAGCAGATACAAACTACTTTATGTAATAGAGGTAACAAGGTCCTACTGTACAGCACAGGGAACTGTATTCAATATTTTATAATAACCTATAATAAAAAAGAACATAGGTGTGTATATATGTACTTATGACTGAATCACACTGCTGTACACCAGAGACTAACATAAAACAACTATACTTCAACTTAAAAAAATTTTTAATAAAAAATACAATTCACATCCAACAATGTCAAGCAGCCGTTGGTGCCTTCCAAAAATCCTGCACTGTTCCCCAGCCATTCCCCCGACTCCTCACTCTCAGCTGATTACCTTGCTTCCTATTTCAAGGAAACAGACAGGGGAGACCCGCAAACCCCAGGGCCGTGCCAGCCACACCCGCGTCTATGGGACAAGCGCCCCCCGCGGAGACATGTCCAAGTTATCAAGCCCCAAGAGGAACATGCAAACTCCATCCTCCCACTTGCTCAAGAGAGACCCAGGAGCCATCTTTGACTCCCGTTTCCTCTCCACGCTTCACAGTTGCTCCACCCACAAGCCCTCTCGGCTCTCCTTTCAAATATGTCAAGAATATGACCACCTCCCCCCGCCTGCTGTCTCCCTGGTTACGACTGCCCTCCCTGCCTGCGGCCCTGCACTCGCACCCTCTGTCACAGCATAGCAGGCTCAGCGATCTCAGGACGTTACACAGAATGAGGGACCAGTGTGAACTGGTCAGCACACGCTGAGGCCCCCGCACCCCACTCCTGCAGCGGCTCCTCCCCACTACCCCCAGGACACGTGCCATTCCCTGTGCTGGGAAAGCCTCCCCCCAAGGCCACTGAGGGGCCTTCATTTCCTTCAGGCTTCTGCTCCAATGCTCCTTTATCAGGTGAACCCTTGACTACCCCCTCTGGTATAAACTATACCCCCAGGTCTCCCAATCCTTTTTTCCATGTTTTTTTTCCCTCTGATTTTATCGCCATCTGAAATATCTCACTTATTTACTTGGTTATACAGTCTCCTCCCCCACACCCCAAGGAGAGGAGCACCCCAAGGGTTTTCTGCTCACTGCTCTATCTCAAGTACACAGCATGGTCGAATAAAAGTGCACGAATGGTGTCCTCTAGCGCCTGTACGCAGGTCAGCTTAGAGAATAGGCATCTCCCACTTAATGGACCCTACTCTATGCCACCATCTACGTCAACAAGCCTGTTTAATCCACACTAGCCAGGTGTGCAGCTCACTACCCCATCTTTCTGTACCACGACTGGAAGGGGCCATCCATGCCTGGGTTCAGACCCAGGGCCATCTGATTCAAGGCACACTGGCACTGAGATAAGTAACAGTTCACATCCAAAAAGAAGCTACTCACAGGGAAACCACTTTTAACAACAACTGATCTCCTTTGTTTCCATCCCCACCAGGTGCACGACTACCTCCGCAGCAAGCTGTGCTCGCTCTACGAAAATGACTGCATTTTTGATAAATTTGAGTGTGTGTGGAATGGGTCAGACAGGTAAGAAAGGTCTGTGTGGCTGGGAACCTTCCAAAGGTGCACCCTCTCCTTGCTGGCCCTGGGCCGTGTACCCTAAACCGGCTGCAACTAAACAGAAATCAAAATTGGGCCTCCAGGGCCAGCAGGTAGCCTGGCGTGGGCCACTGGAGGACCCTTGAGGTCAGTCCTGGAAAGAAGGGAAGGATCTCTGAGACCCTTGACTCCTCTTTCAAGACCAGCACAGGTGACCATTTACCCTCAAAAAGTCCTACCTTTTACACACAGGACATTCCCAGCACTAGGTCAAAAGGTCGAAGTGAAGCTCCACGGGCCGTTTTCCGGCGTGAAGCGTTCAGATTACTGCAAAGCGTGCGTTCTAGATGGAGAATTACCCCCTTGAAGCTGGCAGGACAGACCTGCTGGCCAAAGGCCCTGATGGCTCACTAGCTGCATTCTAGCCGGCCTCACATATCACATGCCCTCCACGTGATGTATCACTGTTTTAAGGATGTTAATTTCAACAGGACTTCATATGACCGCCCCCTAGTTTTGCCTCATGTAACACACATAGCTGATTCTTGACTTCCGGGAGAACTAAGCACCGACCACCACGGGATGGTCCTTGACCAAAGCGGCACCAGCGAGAGGGCCTGGAAGCCCGGAAATGCCACCATGACGACGCACTCGGAGACCAGCGCTTTTACTGAGCACAAGCCGGCCCTCTCTGACCCTTGTTGCACTGTCTCTGCT